CACCGCCGTGGTTTTTAGGACAATCGCCGCCGTTGCCATTGACCGAACACTTCACTGGCTGACATTCCACTCCTCAACTGAGTTCGCCCTCTGCTTTGATTTACGATTCAAGTGAGCGGTGGTACAACCAACGTGCCGGCCACGTGTGACAATGTGTTAAAAGAGAAGAGGTTTGTCACACTGTGGTACGACACCTTTTTTAGAGAAAAGAGTGAACGAAGAGATCCTCGACGCGCAACTCTCTCTCTCCAATCGATACAATCTTTGTACCATATAAAACCCTAATTTATCTCTCAGACTCTATGCAAAGGTGAACTAATGTAACATTAAAGGATTAAGCCTTAATAATAAAGGATTAGCTTTATTGTTAAATTTTAATCTAGGAGGTTTATCTAATTATGTAATGGCAATTTGTGTGGCTTGGTTGATTTATGATCAGTTTTGTGGTTTTATCGGTGGATCTGCGTGTTTGGTGCAGAGAAGGAACTAAAAGGCTTTTAGGTATTTGAGGTTTGGATATATGTGTCTCAATCAATCAAGGGCCGACAAGAGCGAGTCGACACAGTACAGAAGATTGAGTCGATCATGCGTGTATGCATCCTCTGTGTGAAATTGATTGTGTTTTTTTTTTTTTTTTTAGGCCACATATACATATAAACAGAGGAAGATGAAAGCTATGTTCCAGTGAGGAAGATCAACAGTGAAGATCAACAGTATAAGGGTGTGTTTGGGTGTTTAAAAGGAGTGTGGATTTAATAGTTAAAATAAGGGGCATTAGTGTCTTTTCATGGTCATGAGGGCATTATAGTCATTAAAATTATAGGGTATGTCATGTGACCAACACATAATGATTTTAACTGTGAGATCCGAACGGAACAATGACGGAGGGGGAGGGGGCCATCTGCAACAAAAATGTATAATTTAGGAGGTTAGTTGTAACTTTAGTAGTTCAGGGATTAATTTTTCATTCCCCAATAATTCAGGTTTTTTTCTTCTTTTATTTTATTTTTTTAAATTCACATAATGTACTTATTTGCCCAAATTAAAACTGAGGTCCAATTCCTTTTCAAATTCCATTGGCCAACTCGGTTACCAGTAGTAATTGGAGTAATTAAGTACTTTATAGTTTCTCTTAAAATTAATATTGTCTGAGTCACATGCCATATAATAATATTTGTTATTGGTTTGTGGGTCAATAACAACATGACATTGATAGCTTTGTGGTCAACCTCTTAATTGTTGAAACAAATATTTTATTAAATTTTTTTGTTATTTGTTTCGCTTATAATATTTATGCTATGTTTGATTGGAGAGAGGGTTTGAGGGAGGATGAGTGAGAGAGGGAATAAAATAATTTTTCCGTTGGAGGGAGAAACCAAGGAGGGAAAAATGATTCATTCCTCCTTGGTGCCTCTCTCTTTTGTATTTTTCTATCGGACCAAAATTGAGGGAAGAGGAGAGAGAAAAAAAATTAATAACTAACATAAATATGTATTTTTTTTTTTATAACCTTAGTAAAAATTTGGAATAGATACAAAATTTTTAGAATTTTAAATAATAAGGGTATATTAGTAAAAAAAAATATAAAAACCATATTTTCTTTCTTTCTAACTAACCAAACAAAAAATGAGGGAACACATTCACTTCCTTAAGAATACCTCATTCATCCCTTTCCCTCTCTCTTTTATCCATTTTTCCATCCTCCAACCAAACAGAACATTAGTGACACACTAGCCGCTGCATGATACATTTGGCAAAATAAGTTTTAACATTCTGAATTTAAATATAATGAACCATGGAAATATGATTAGTAAAGATGTTATACATGAATTCTGTTGCTAAGGAAATTCTCAACTTTCTATTGCCACCTGGTTTGAAAACTTTAATCAAACCCTCCACAATTCACTTACTAGTGACCATATGTGTACTTCAATGCCTTGCTATTATTTCAAGTCAATAAACATAAAATAAATAACTCAAATCTAATAATCACTTTACAATTTCTATTGTCACTCTCCTGAAAATCTAGACACCTGAGATGTCATAAATAATAATGGATTCATTTATCGGTAATTAAAAGTCTTAACATCTGACATAAAATTAAATAAATGTTTGTGAACACCTGATGATAGTTATTAATAAATAGTCCTATTACCCCTGTATAAAGTAATTACCATCTCAAGCAATCTTGTGATAACACATCACAGATTACCAAAAAATGTGTCCTAGCTTAGGTTAGACATGGTTCACTAAGAATCAACTAAGAGTTCCAAACGATCGTATATGAAAATTTTCCACAAATATCAAATAAGAAATGAAGGTATTTCAATTTGTGCAATACTGTTTTTCAAAAAACCTTACTTGATTAGGGAGTTGCAAATTGTTGTTTAAAATTTTGTTACCTCACTCTTTTAAGTTAAATCTGTAGTGATAATCATGTGATGATCAGATAAGTCAAAAATCACGAAAAAGAAGGAAGAAAAATATTAGTGAATACAGCTGTAAAGGCAACTTGAAAGGAAAAGGCCCTTCCAAACTTTGAAGGTAAAAGCAGATTCCAAAGCAACCTCTACATGGTGGGGAAAAAGTAGCCATGACAAGTCATATACGGAGTATATAACTTTCAATAAAGGCTATTTGAAAGGAAAAGTGTAAAGAGACTTTTCAAGATACTTGTACTAATCAAATATATGGATAATAATCAGTGGCTTAATTGGCAGAGTGCAGAGTAAACTCGTGTTCGAATCCGTCCTACTATCTTGTTTGCCGAAATGAATAATAATAATAAGGGTAAATTATAGGATAAAGTGCAATAAACCTCCTTCAACTATACCCTAAGTGCAACTAACCCCCCTCAACTACAAATAACCCCCCTCAACTATGGTCTTGGTGTAGTCTTAGGACAGAAAGTGTTCTTCAGGTCATTTCTAGCTACCGAAAATTTGAAAAGTCTAATTTACCCCTCCATAAAACAGTGCCACATCACAGTGAGGAAAATAGAATACATGGAGGACACGTGTCAGCAGCCTATTGGCTGATGACTTTATTATTATTTTTCCTTTTCTTTTTTTTTTTTTATCCTCAACTAGGTCACTTCTTAATACCCCTCTCTCTCTCTAACTCGCCCCTGTCCAAGTTGCCAAATTGAAACGCGATGAACCCCCAAATTGAAAAGGCGACGACGAAACCGGTAATTGACAGAACGGCGGGCAAGACGGTGACGAGCTTGGCTATGGCGGCTTGATGGAGACAAGCTGGCTATGACGGCGAGGTGGAGATGGGCTGGCTGTGACGGTGAGGTGGAGACGGCCTGGCTGTGACGGCGAGGCCGGTGAAGGGCTCGGCTGACTCAGCAATGAATGACTCGCGGTGGCGAGCTTGGCGGGATTGAACGACGGCCGAACTCACGACGAGCAAGGAGGCTTTGGACGGTGGAGAGGATGAAGACAGCCTCGGCGGTTTCGGCTTTAGATGATGTCGGCTGTGTGGATAGCGGGTGGTGCAGCGGCGGTGATGGACCGGTGAGGGCTCAGCCTTGAGGAAGAAATGCGGCGGTGGTTGGGTTTTGCAAATCAGTTCTTTGAAATTGGGTTTGCTTGTGATTGGGGTTAAAATTTGCGATTGGGTTTGCTTGTGATTGGGGTTGAGAATCAGTTCTGTTATTGTTGAAATCGAATTTCTCATCTTCCAGATGAAAAGAGAGAGAGGGAGAGAGAGAGAAAGAGGTTCCATTAAACAAAATTAAATAATGTATACTTATATAGACAACTACAGAGGAACTCATTCTCTGTAAAACATACAATATATATATATATATATATATATATATATATATATAGATGTATACATATATAGGTAGATAGAGATATACTCCACAGATCGATGAGGAAGGAGGACAAAATGTTAGGGCTTGTTTGGATACTAGTTGGGTCCAAATGTATTTAAAGGGTATTATGGTCTTTTACATTCCATAAGGGCTCTATGGTCATTTAGAGAAATATGGGCTATCACGTGCCAGCCATATGTTAGAAATCCATCAACCGGTTGCCGGGTTGGGTAAAGTGCAACCAAACAACATACTTCAAGGGGGTTTTATGCTACTTTAGAAATTTAGGGGTGGTTTTTTGCTCATTAGGGTATAGTTGAGGGGGGTTTATTGCACTTTACCCTAAACTATATTAAATCTATTTTTTTTTTGCCAAAAAAACTATTCAATTATTTAAGGGGTGGCTTACCAAACGGACGTTAGCGGAAAGAGAACTGAAATAAAAATTGACTTAAATACCCTTCAAGCTTGTTTGAAAATCTATTTTGTGGTATGTCTAGATTTTTTTAATTAAATAACTTGCCAAAAAAACTATTCAATTATTTAAGGGGTGGCTTACCAAACGGACGCTAGCGGAAAGAGAACTGAAATAAAAATTGACTTAAATACCTTTCAAGCTTGTTTGAAAATCTATTTTGTGGTGTGTCTAGATTTTTTTTAATTAAATAACTTAAATGATATTTTTCATAGATATTAACACTTCTATTGTTTATTAATTTTTAAAAAATATGTTAGCCTTTTACTAGACTGTGGAGGAGATAAGAAATTACCAACTACTACTATATGATATGGTAGAGACATCTTACCCACTGTGGACCAAGAGAAACAAAGCTGTACATGCAAACACAGACTTCTAGAGGTCCTACCACGTTGCAAACAACCATTTTTTATTTTTTGTTTTGTTCTATGGTGACCTTGCCTTTACTTGTCGCTTTTCACAGTGGGTTCAAACTATGAATGATCTATGTTGAGGGTTTTACCGTGGATACATATTGTTGGACGTTGAAGATTTTTTGAAATGATCCATCAGGATAAAAAATTCCAGCACCAATGGTGCTTGATCCAACTACTTTTTACGCTTACTCAATAAGAAGCCAACCAATCGAATAATGACGGGTCCACTCCAAGAGGTGTTTGTAAAGTGGAGGACAACCCATTTAAAGAGCTCTGATTTAATTTTAATTTCTTTACTCTCTCATGATATCAAGCAACTAGATAGATTTTCATCCACTCGATTCCTTGCGAATTACTGTTTGAGAGTTGATGTAAAGAGTCCAACGATATCATCTCTTTAACAAATAAAGGACTTTTAAGCTAGCTAGCTCCCCCATTGTTCTTTGATTGAGCTTGGAGATGATTGTTCAGCCTGTTGTCTCTTTGGTTGTGGAAAGGGTTGGTGAATGGTTGATCGGAAGAGCAAACCTCTCACCCGAAGTACGCTCCGAGGTGGAGGGAATTCAAAGGAACCTAAGATTGATGACGATCATCGTAAGGAATTCAAATGCAAATCATACAGAAACGGCGGCATGGCACAACTTTGTTGTTGAGATCCAAGATGTCGCTTATGATGCTGAAGATGTAATCGAAACTTTTATCCTCACCGTACCAATGAGGGATAGAAGAAGAAGAGGTATTATCCATTTCTTTCTAAAAAGAGGTGCTTGCATTTATAGAGAGTCTGTAGACCGTCACAATGTTGGGTCAGAGATCAAGGATGTTAGGAACAGGATTTCTGAACTTTTCACAAATTTACAAGCTTATGGCATGATAAGACGCATGGTGGAAGGAGAACAGTCATCAAGTTCCGCACAAGAAAGGGCTTATCAGACGGACTTATTCCCATGTGGTTGAAGAGGATTTCATAGATATGGAGAATGATGTGAAGAAATTGGTGGGACATCTGGTGAATGAAGACACAGATAATTATCAAACGGTTTGCATATGTGGTATGGGTGGTTTGGGCAAGACCACTCTTGCTCAAAAAGTCTACAACCACAACGATGCAAAGTGTCACTTTGATTATCTTGTTTGGGCTTGTATATCTCAGAAACAAGATGTTTTGCAAGGGATCCTTATTAAACTTCTTCCCGAGAAGAAGGAGGAGGAGATTCACCGTATGAGAGATGAGGAGTTAACCAGGCAGCTCCATCAAGTCCGGCTTGATAAAAGATGCTTAATAATTCTTGATGACATTTGGGAACAGGGGGATTGGGACATCTTGAAATTTGCATTTCCGATTGGAGAAGCGACACGCAGCAAAATATTACTCACCACCCGTAATAAACAATTGGCTTCATATGTGAATCCACGTGGATTCCTCCATGAACCACGGCTATTGAATGACGGTGAAGCTTGGGAACTGCTTCAAAAGAAAGCATTTAGAAGAGCACACGGTTCATCAGGTATGGTATATAATTAGTCCCCAATCCATATGAATCATTGCATAGTTATTAAATGTCTCATTTAATATAGTTAAATTAAATATATATATATATATATTAGTTAGTGGGTTGTTAGTTGTGTGGACTGAAATTGTAACAATAAATAACCTTGATTGTTCCTTAAATGACTTGTTCACGCAACAGAAATGTAAAGAACTTGAACTAATGTGGTAGCTACCTAAAAGGTTAGAAATTGAATTTTCATAAATAATTCAGGATTTGGGGAGCTCTTATTATATGACTATTGTGTATCACTTTGAGTTTTGTGGATGAACACAATTGAAATTCCAATTCAATTTTCTTAAATAAAAATAACTAAAGTTGACTAATTTTAGGATAGTAACATTTTAATTTTTAAGACGCATCATTGATATGCCTTGGTATGGTTATAGGGGGTGCATTAGAACCCTTGAAATTCATTAAGAATTCTTAAATGAATCCAAAATCATAAACTAACCTGACAATTTAAGTTGTCAGGTTACTGTCACAAGAACTTATTCTTGCTCATTTTTTGGTGTGTATAAATTGTCTGACAACTTAAAGTTACATAGTATCCTACTCAGTTGTTTTGGGTTGTATGAGTAAATTGCAGAAAATATTTTGGCACCAAAAAGATAAACGAAAATGATTGAATTGATAGGGGCAACCAATTCATGGAGGTATTACTTACTGAGGTTGACACTTGAGAAATATTTACTAACTTAATTCAGTCTTAATTTTAAATAAATTAACTCCATGCATTTAATTAAGCAATTTGAACATTACTTAAAATAAAATTATAAGATTATAAGTGAGGAGATTTTACTGATGACAAAACATTTAAAATTTGTACAATAAAATAATTTTGTGGTGGTTGTGGTTCCCATTACCAAGTAATTAGTTTTCCACTTCAATTTTCTCACATTTCTTTTTTTTATATATATTTTTTTCTTTCATAATTTGTTGGATTTAATATAGCTTAAAAGTTTAAATTTGGTTGTTGTCCAATACCTTTTTCCATAAAGGTTGTTCGGTGTTTGGCATTTCAATGAATTTTTAAATTTTTTATTGTCCTGTATGAACGACCGTTGTTCCCTTTCATAACTACTACTACTATATATGTTGGGTTTTGCAGACAATAGACCTGACAAAAAGATTGAAGAGTTGGGGATCAAAATGGTTTAGACATGGTGGAGGTCTACCATTAGCTGTTGTTGTGCTTGGAGGTATTTTGGTAACCAAACATACAAAGGAGGAGTGGGAGAAGGTGCATAGGAATATTAATTCCCACATAAGTAAGGGCACAAGCGTGGGGCATGAAGATGGAGGAGTATCACAAGTGTTGGGTTTAAGTTACCATGACTTATCATATCAGTTGAAGCGATGCTTTCTCTATTTAGGAAGCTTTCCGGAGGATTCTCGGATTGAATTAGAGAAATTATATCAATTGTGGATAGCTGAAGACCTGATATTGTCATGTGACACAGAAGGAGAAGACACAATGATGGACGTTGCAGAGCGTTACTTGAGTGAATTGGCAAACAGGTACATGGTTCACTTGGGAATAGAATATGATTTTAAATATTGCAGGCTTCACGACATGATGCGAGAATTGAGCAAGTCAAGAAGAAATTTTTTTCAATGTCATTGATTCTGAGAAAAGTTCATCAACATCATCAAATGCTAAAGTACGCAGAGTTGCCATCCATGGCCATTTGGGGAAGGAGGAGGATTATGGTGATTGGCTTTCAACTCAGTACTACCTTCCGTCGTTGCTTTTATTCGGAGATGATTGGAGGCCATGGATAATAAATTCATGCCATTGGAAAGACTTGAAGGTGTTGAGAGTTGTTCATCTTGAATCAATTCATGCCAAAAAGGGCAAGATGGTAATTTGTTACAAATCAGTAATTTGAGACTCAAGGGCATAAACGTCATTTACTTGTATCACGCAATAAATAAAATAAGGCCCGGGATAATATTGTCTTTTCGGTGGTTAAAATATATTTATTGCACTTTGATTGGGCCATAAGGTAATTACTCACATAAAAATTGGGTTCCAAAGTGTAATTAGGAAAATTAAAAGAGGAATGTTTATGGGACAAGAACCAGTCGACGTATATGCATTATACGTCAGTTGGTTTGGGTTATGAATAGTGGAAAATCTCACTGCCGAGATACCGGTCGACGTGTGGGAAGCTACACGTCGACTGGTTTGGAACGTGTACAGTGAAAAGTTTACTGTCAGATACCGGTCGACGTGTGGGAAGCTACACGTTGACTGGTTCGTGCAACTCGGTAGACGTATGGAGTTTTACGTTGACTGGTTTGGGTTATCCTCACTCACTGTCACTAAGATACACCAACTTTGAAAGCCAATCACCCAGACCACTACATTCACGTACATACGTAAATACATTTCAACATCCATAATAACAATAACTACAATGTTAACATAATTTACTACACGTTACCAAAATACACTAAGGATTAAATGCTGATACAACTCAATTACATTACCTCACTGGCCATGCACATGCTAAAATCCAAATATTGTACATGTTGCAAAAATAATACATCCTAAGTCAACATCTTAACAAAATAAGTTCAAGCTCTACAAAAATGCATCCAAAATGCTTCCTAAGTGCTCTCAAGCATGAGATGGATTATCATCTGCCAATTCCTTTCCAAGACCAAAAAAAAAAATGTTAAGTATGTAGGGTGAGCAATTTGCTCAGCAGGTGGCACTTACGACATGTCTCTTGTGTCCCCGTGAATCCAAACATAGAATAGAGCAATGGAAATGGGGATCATACTAAGCCGGGTTAATACAACATAACCACCAATCTCAACCTAATCAATGTGATGCGATAGAATGCAATGCATGCCGATGTCACTCCCCATTTTCTCATTCAAAATCAATCACTTTCAAACTGTTAATGTAACTCCCTTTGGTACCCCCTTAGCGCCGAGAGAAGGATTGACTACTGTCCCTGACCATTGGTACCTCCGCAGCGTCATTATGGGGCCCAGATAGCTCAACCACGCTAGGGCAGTCTCCCTAGTTCCCTCTAGGTTACATTAACCTACCGGCCCTTTGGTGACTCCGCGGCGACCGGGTTTGATAAAACTATTTCATCAAAACACTTTCCCAAAAATTCCCTTTTTTTAGTATCAAAACAATTCTTCCCTTTTTCATACCTAATGTCAATACATGAATGTATCAATATCATGTCTATGTCCATCATTCTACAATCACTCAAAATTTAATTGGCAAAGCACAATTCATAGGAATTTTTAATGAACTACAACATGTTTTCATACAATAAAATCTAGCATGATAGGCATATAAAGAATCAACACATAGATATGTTCTCCACATAGATCATTTAATGCCACAATTACTCAATTAGCAAATATACACATCAACTAAGCAATTGGCTTGATTCTATACAATTTAAGCATGTTAACAACATAATAGACATAGGAACTCAGCATATAAGCATGCTTTTCATACAACCTATTTTATACACATCCTCTTATGTTTACATATCTCAATTAAGTCATTTAAAACTAAAATCAACACAATTAAGCATTCTAAGACACAATTCAAGTAGATTAACTCATTAAACACAAGATTTCATGGATTAAGGACCCCTACCTCTTAATTGTTCAAAACCCTCAAAGTGGGTAAAGAATTTCGAAATTCCTAGGGAGGCTCAAAGTTGGAATCGCTGGTACACACGCGTAGAGCTCGCCGTGCTCTCTGTTTTGCCGCAAACGATACTTAAAAATTCCAAATATTGAAGGAGTAATCTTGATTCAAAGTTTGTTGCAAAACAAAATGAAATAAAGAAGAAAAGAGAGGAAGAAGAGAGAGCTACGGGAGAGTGAGAGATAAGAGACCAAAAAAAATGTGGTCTCTACCCTACAAATGTGATAGTGGTGGGTCCCACTATTATCCTTTTCTTTTCCCTTTTTCCTTTATCTTATAATCCACACCACACAAATACATGCAATGCACCACTATAGGAATGCTACATAATTCACATAAAAAAAATATGAAATGCAATTAAACCCAACTAAAATCCCGTACGCAAAACGTGAAAAGACAAAAATGCTCTTACGGCGACAAAATCCTGAAAAGAATGAAAATTATTGAAAATCAGAAACATCACAAAAGCATCCTCGTGACACTAAAAAATAAATATTAAAAATATCAAAATAAAGAACCTTCATATTTACGAAATTTCGTAATATTAAAATAAAGTACAAAGTGATCTTATTGAGTAATTATTTAGAATAAAAAGATATAGAAATAAAACTCACTTAAAAGAATAATTATATATATATATATATATTTTGGACCACACACTCTTGCTTTTAAGTGGAGTTCAACCCTCAACTTTAATTTTAAAATTAGTAGATAATAATTAGAAATTTAAAAATTTATAAACAAGAATGTGATTTGAAATAAAATATCATAGATCATGCAAGAAAGATAAGAAAATCAAAGCTCACATTAATCATTGAAGCCAAAACAGTTATATGAGTTGATATGTATGATTTGGAATAAACAAGTTTGTTTGTATGCATACAGTCATGTTTCAATCGTGGACCCACTTCAGTTATACATCATTCTTAGATATAAAATGAAAAAAGGAAACGAAAAATAAGCCACTTGTATTTTATTTTATTTTATTTTATTTTTGAAGACCTACCCTCTCTTAATAAAAGATAACAAAATTTGGGTAATAAAAGAGAATATTGGGTACCCCGTCAGCATGCCAACATGCTATCCCCATCCAATAATAGCATGACACTTTTTCCAACTTTCCACGTCAGCTCCTAACATAAAGTTAACTATCAAAAGTTGACTCCGTCTCCTTTCTCTTCAGGCAAACACTAACACCATCAAAATTTATTTTGTTATCCCGCCAAACCCAAATTCTTCTTTCACAGATCCCGCCTAAATTGTTGCACATCTTTTTCTCATTTTCCTTTTTTGGAAACAATATTATCTCCAAACCTCTGACCCACTTCCATGAGACCAAATTATATTTTCATCCGTCTCTTTCTACCAGAAGTCTTTAATCACGGAATTGTACCAAATCAAGAATATTAAAGCTTCCACTAATCTTTTGGAGTGCAAAGGTAAGTCAATTCCCTTTTTTATGTGCCATTTTATTTTATATTTTTCATATCTTTTGACAATAACAAAAAGATTACACTACCTATAATCTTCTACAAATAGATACTAAAATGGTTGATTGTTGTGTAAATTATAATCAATTTGCACATCTTTTTCTCATTTTCCTTTTTTGGAAACAATGTTATCTCCAAACCTCTGACCCACTTCCTTTAAGACCAAATTATATATTTATCTGTCTCTTTCTACCAGAAGTCGTCAATCACGGAACTGTACCAGATCTTCCAAAGAATATTAAAGCTTCAATAGATCTTCTAGAGTGTAGAGGTAAGTCAATTCCCTTTTTTATGTGCCATTTTCTTATTGAATAGAATACCATAGCTTAATGATGTTATATATATTTTTCATATCATTTGACAATAACAAAAAGATTACATGATCTACAATCTTCTACAAATAGATACTAAAATGGCTGATTGTTGTGTAAATTGTAATCAATTTACTAAAATCAGTAAAGCATTGACAAACCTAGACATATAATTTTAACAACAATTTGGAAGACATGACCCAACAATTTGGAAGCTCCTGTCATTGACAATAGGAGGCTTCAAATTCAATGAGCACTAAAAAGAAAGTTGGATTTTGAAGCTTCAACCATTGGCTCCACTAAACAGACAATCTCTGTATTGTTATCCTTACATAAATGATTAAGAGAATAGAGTATAGGAGTTCAATGCAGTTTTGGCTCTGATTGAATAAAAGGCAACTTTTTTTCTTTTTCAGCTTTTTCTTTTTGAGACTTTGACAACACTAGAGTAGAAAACTCATTGTTGTTCTCATCCGAAACATCTCCTTAAGCACCAGTAAGAACCTAGACATATAATTTTAACAAATTCACAATCAATGTATAATAATCAAATAATGTATAGTAATCTTTATTCAGTGTTTTTTTAGTTTAGGGCCATTAATTTGGTCGAACTATATAATAATTTCTCGTGTTTGGTATAGACTTCTAAATTCACATTTGTTTAGTTTTCTCAATATTTTTCTATCTATTGTACTAAACCAAATGAGTCCACACATAAAACAAAAGAAATTAATAAATTATTTCTTCATATATATATATATATATATATATATATATATATATATATTTTTTTTTTTCAAGTGAAATGAAGTACTCCAATTAACAACCAAATAAATATTAAAATCCTTACTAAAATATATAGCGAGTTCTAGTATATACCACATAAAAAATTACTTGCCTTTAGAAAAAAGAAAGTACAAGTATTATGTTTGTAACATTATTTTTTGTTGGTTTATAATGTATGTGGTTTACAGGTGTGTTATCATACCTAATTTATTAAATGGAATCTTTGGATGATGATATTGATAACCTTAAAATTGGAATGAGGGTTTCCAGTGAAGATGAAGCATGTAGGTTATATTGTAAGTATGCCCTGCGAAAGGGTTTTGGTGTTCGAAAAGGAAACTTTCGGTATACTAGTGGTGGAGTTATTAAACAACGGGAGTTCTTATGTGCAAATGCAGGACAATATCGCGATGGTGATCCTTTTAATCCGAAAAAAATAAGAAGATTAGTGACCCGAACAGGTTGTAAAGCTCTAATTAAATTTGTAATTCCAGAAGGAATTTGGGAAATTAGTTATATCAATGATGAACACAACCATAGATTAATTCCAGGACTTTGTTGATAAAAAAGAAAGATAGTTTTTAAGAATAAGCATAAACATAGATTCAGCTAGTGCAAGTGTTCTAAATTCTATGGTTGGTGCTGGTATAAAAGGGACAAAAGCTTACTCATATCTTTCAAAGGAAGTTGGTGGATCTGAAAATGTCGGGTTCATTTTAAGAGATTGTCAAAATTTTGTTAATGAGAAAAAGAAAAGTTTGATTCAAAGAGGAGATGCACAAAGCATGATAAAACACTTTAAGCAATGTTGAGCTGAAGACCATATATTTTTTCACAGTGAGGAATTAGATGCAGAAGGTCGTTTGGCAAATTTTTTTTGGAGAGATGGATTATCAAGATTAGACTATGACTATTTTGGGGATGTTGTTGTTTTTGATACCACGTATCGAACAAACAGATATGATATGATTTTTGCTTCATTCGTAGGAGTTAATCATCATAGTAAGAATATTTTATTTGGTTGTGCATTTTTTGTAGATGAGACCACATATTCTTTTGTTTGGTTTTTCGAGGAATTTTTAGCGGCAATGGATAACAAGGCACCCAAGACAATATTTACTGATCAATGTCAAGCAATGGCAAATGCCATTAAAAAAGTTTTTCCAAACACTTGTCATCGTCTTTGTTCGTGGCATATTTCAAAAAATGCCACTCAAAAGCTTGGGACCTTGTATGGAAATTACGAGTTCAAAACTTTGTTTCAGAAGTGTCTACATTCTGAAGCAATAGATGATTTTGAATCAACATGGAATCTAATGATAACGAAGTTTGGTATTGCGGACAACAAATGGCTTAAGTCACTTTATGGACTTAGAGAGAAGTGGTGTCCGGCTTTTAGTCTTGACACTTTCACTCTCCGTGCTAAATCAACTCAAAGAAGTGAGAGTATGAACAATGTTTTGCAAAAGATGTCCTCTAAAGCTATGACTTTAATGGAATTTGTGCAACATTATGAAGAACAATGTGAGAGGATACGGTTAGCTAAAGCTAATGAAGATTATCGTAGTAAGCATGGCATAATACAAATGAAAGCGAAGGATTCCAAAATGCTGAAACAAGCAACTTGTGTTTACACAAATAGTATTTATTACCTATTTGAAGATGAGGTGCTTTCTAGTTTGGCAGTGAAATTGGATTTGTTATCAAATCTTTCTACAATCTTCATTTATCGTGCTTTTGTGGGAGGTGATACGCATTACATTATAAATTTTGATTCATCTAATTTTAATGTAGTGTGTTCTTGTACGTTGTTTGAGTCTACTGGGTGGTTGTGTCGGCATGCACTGTTCTCAGTTTATGGAATATTCATGATATACCATCTCAATATATTCTAGAAAGATGGACAAAGTATGTGAAATCAAAACAGCCTCCATTTGAACTTGGTGAGTCGTCCAGAAATAAGAAATCATCTTTGACTCTAGAAAGAAGCATCTTACTTCAACAATCTTATCGCGCTATCAATCACTTGGTTATGACCACTGAGGGAAAAAGTTTGGCCAAGAAACATGTGCAATTAAAGTGGGAGGATGCACAAAAACTTATGGAAACCTTCAATCCAAATAAGGAAAATGACAATACTTCTGGTGATCTCATGAAGACTGGTGGACATTTAGAGGAAATGATTGTGTTGGATCCTTCACATGTGAAAGCAAAAGGAGTAACGAATGCTCGAATAAAAAGCTATTTGGAGAAAAGGAAACGTAGGCAAAAAAAGGTAATAAAACACTAAATTTATTCAATTTTAGTTTACTGTCAAGTCAATAGATGTACAATTATACATTTTAATTCTGACTTGCAGGGCAACCATTACATAACACTTATAATGTGCCCAGTGCTCCAGTGCTTTATCTCCTACCTGTTCCTGTTCCTTCTCATTTTCATGCTCCAACTTTTCATTCAGTGTTTTATCTCCCACCTGTTCCTGTTCCTTCTCCTTTTCATGCTCCAACTCTTCATTCATTTGGGCAACAATTACATACAAACATTTTCAATCCTGGTGTTATTCATACGTCACTCCAATGTGAGCAACAAGTCAGGTATTATTCAACATATGATTGTTATCAATTATATGATTTTTTTGGATAAGTAACATAATTTTATTGTTACATGCTTATAGGAATGATCTTGATGCAAGCAAGTGATTTGCAGAGGTTGTGGAGCTGCCAAGGCCGGGAGAGGATATGTTGAATGTTGATGTCATTTGTTGTTGAGAAGAGGATTTTTGTAATAGTAGGTTGTTAATATGTTGTTTCCAGTATAAATGTTAATTATAATTGCAGGACTTAAAATTTCAGTGTAAATAGTGTTGTTAAGTATAGGAATGTAATGTCTTTTAAGTTTTCATGCTCTGTTGATATCAATCATTGAGGATTTGGAACACACCATGGTTTTGCAGAACTTAAATCACAACAAAATTTAGTTGTGTTTATAAAAAATCCAACAATTTTATGTATAACACTAGGACTTCTGTTGCAGATTTGCTGCACTCTTTTTCTATTGTTGCTTCACTTTGCTAGTGTGGGGTGATGTCTTATGAGAGCTGGGGTTTTTTGAATTGGTTCAATCTCTTTGAGAAGCTTAGATTTATTGTGGAGTATGCAGTATTTTATTTTCTTGCACTCTGTGTTTGTGCCTTGTGTAGGCTGTGTTTTACTGCTTTAGGGATGTATTCTATAGGTTCTTAAACAATTCTGCAACACTGTTTAATTTTTGTTGAGGAAAGGATTTTTGTAATAGGAGGTTGTTAATAGGTTGTTAATTATAATTGAATGACTTAAATTTTCATTATAAACAATATTGTTAAGTATAGGAATGTAATGTCTTCAAGTTTTCATACTCTGTTGATATGAATCATTGAGGATCTGGGACACACCATGGTTTTGCAGAACTTAAATCATAACAAAATTTAGTTGTGTTTATAAAAAATCCAACTAAGTATAACACCAGGACTAACAATTTTAAGAGTTTCAAATAAGATTAACATTATATAAAATGAAATAATATAATATAGGGGAGATCCGAGGGCATACCCTCGCCTGAGAAACATAGAAGGCCAAAAGAGAAACCAACAATGAGGATACCTTTGCCAAAACACAACAAACTATAAAAGCTATAGAATACATCCATAAAGCAGTAAAACACAGCCTACACAAAGCACAAACACAGAGTGCAGAAAAAAAAACATACTCCACAATAAATCCAAGCTTCCCAAAGAGATTGAACCAATTCAAAAACCCCTAGCTCTCACAAGACACCACCCCACACCAGCAATGCATTCACAAGGCAGATAGACCCCAAAAATGAAGCAACAACAGATGGACAAAGAACCCATTCTCCAAAAGCAAACCAAACTCCAAAAGTAAACCAAATGCCTATCTCCATCAAAAGCAAAATCACAGCCACATAGAGACTCAGAGAGCGCACAAGGCAACATAAACCACAGAAGAAGAATGCAGCAAATCCGCAACAGATTGGCATTGAACCAAAGCCAAGAACGACCATACTATCCAAGCAAAAATATGAACAGTGATAGGCATAGACCTATTCTCCTATAAGCATACCAAATATAGTCTCAATCATACTATCCAAGCAAGAACGCAACAGCAGCAACAAAGAATCAGACTTAAGCAATAAACCTCTTGACTATACATTAGAAAACCATCTTGCGGCTAATGCCCATGATATCCAAATTTCCCAAAGCCCACCAATAAAACACATGATAACTGTGGGCAAACCTCAGTTATGTGAATACTGACATGCATTTACTTATGTTTTCAGTGATGAATTATGTCAATATATATTAATTTTCGAAAATTAAAAAACAAAAAGTTGTTATGCAATTAAAGTTAAAAAAGGGAAAAAAAAGTTATGAATAAATATGAACGCTATCTGCAAATCAACAAGTTTGAAAGAAAAAAATATTTTTGTAGGACTGATCATCAGATCTTGCAATTAAACACGCGAGATGATAACGGAAGGTGTTGCTGCGATGTTTACATATCTGTTGAAATCCCGATATTCTTAGACCGCAATCCACCATGGAAGAACCAGAAAATGAACACATTGACCTTTCGAATCAGCTTTTTCAATCATTACTGGACTCGATACAACACACAGAACTTCAGAGGCAAGTGGTCTCTGATCAAAACCAAACTCGCCGACCTCGCCGACTCACCTCCCAACTCTCTCTCTAGAACTGTTCCATTCTGTCTCCGATACTCCGACGCACTTTCCCTTTCTAAAGCCTGTCGAAATTAGACCCTCCCCGGCGGCAAGCTCAAGACGCAGAACGACATTGATTCGGTCTCGGCGAAGCTGGACCGGCAGATCAGAGACTCCGACGTTTTGATTAAAAGCGGGGTGCTACACGACGACGCCGTTCTGAGGTCGTCGAAGAGGGAGTCCGATCGAGTCGAGGCTCGGAACTTGATAACTCAGTTGCAGATTGGGAGCCGTTCTGAGGTTGTCATCGATGTCGAAGAGGGAGTCCGTACGAGTCGAGGCTCGGAACTTGATAACTCGGTTGCAGATTGGGAGCACCAAGTCGAAGAACTCGGCGTTGGACTCACTGCTGGGGTTGATTCAGGAGGACGACAAGAATGTGTTGATTGCGATGGCGCAGGGGATCATCCCAGTGCTCGTCAAGCTCGACGCCGGAGGTCAAAGAGAATACCGTCACGGCCGTTGCTAGTCTCGATTGTGGATTCGAGCAAACACGACTTGATTGACGAAGGACGGTTGCTTTTGAATCATCTAGTTAGGGCAACGAGGAGAGAGAGAAAGTGGAATGGATTTCAATCTTTATTTTGAAATTTGAAATAGTTTTTATTTTATTTTATTTTTTTTTTTTAATTTTTATAACAAAAGAAAATAGACGGAGTTAACTTTTTCTCGGTTAACTTTATGTTAGGAGCTAACGTGGAAAGTTGGAAAAGTGTCATGCTTTTATTGGATGGGGATAGCATGTTGGCATGCTGACGGGGTACCCTTGGGGTACCCAATATTCTCTCCATTCTTAGATATAAAATGAAAAAAGGAAACGAAAAATAAGCCACTTGTATTTTATTTTATTTTATTTTTGAAGACCTACCCTTCTTAATAAAAGATAACAAAATTTGGGTAACAGGGTCCACTCTATCATCTAAGTCTTGCAAGGCGATGCTGGCCACACTTTCACACCCCTCCTGATAGGATTTGTGAGGTTTCAATTTAGCCCACCCATCCATTATCCATCGTCTTGTGGTGAGGAGATATTGGGTGATGGAATTTGTTTTATTATTTGCTTGTAAAAACATTATTATTATTATTATTATTATTATTGTTATTATTAAGGCAATTCCAGTTTGAGATGGAGCTAAATAGTCCAACTGATAAAATACACTGGTTTGCACCCATATCGTCTATTTAACAAATAAACATTTTTTTTTTTATCAAGCAAGCTTGCTCCTATAGTTCTTCCATTGAGCATGGAGACAGTTGCTGAGCCTGTTGTCTCTTTTGTTGTTGAAAGGATCGGTGATTGGTTGATTAAAGAAGCCAACCTGTTAACGGGAGTACGTTCTCAGGTTAAGGAAATTGGAGATGACCTAATCCGGATGAAATGCTTCCTAAAAGATGCAGACGCAAAGCATAAAGCAGGAGCCATAGAGCGCAACTTTGTTATAGAGATTCAAGACATCGCTTATGATGCTGAAGATGTTATCGAAACTTTTCTCCTCAGGTTATCATTTAGGAGGGAGAGAAGAAGAGGTGATATCCAATATTTTTTTATAAGATATGGCTTCGTCTTTAACAAATTTATAGATCGCCACAATGTTAGGTCAAAGATCAAGGCTATTAAAGTCAGAATTTCTCAACTTTCCACAAGTTTACAAAATTATGGTATAAGATCTATAGCGGAAGGTGATCAAGGGTCATCAAGTTCAGCACACGAAAGGCAACGTCTACTAAGGCGAACATATCCTCATGTCTTTGAAGAGGATTTCATAGGCCTGGAGAATGATGTGAAGAAATTGGTGGAACATCTGTTGAATGAAGACAAAGATAGTGGCAACTGGCATCAAACTGTTTGTATCAGTGGCATGGGTGGTTTGGGCAAGACCACTCTTGCTCAAAAAGTGTACAACCACAACGATGTGAAGCGTCACTTTGATGGTCTTGCTTGGGCTTGTGTATCACAGCAACCCCAGAAACAAGATGTTTTGCAAGGGATCCTTATCAAACTTATCCCTGAGAAGGAGGAGGAGGAGATTCGCCGTATGAGAGATGAGGATCTAACCGGGCTACTCCATCAAGTCCAACTTGATAAAAGATGCTTAATAGTTCTTGACGACATTTGGGAAAAGGGGGACTGGGACATCTTGAAATCTGCATTTCCCATTGGAGAAAGGAGCTGCAGCAAAATATTGCTCACCACACGTAATAAATAATTGGCTTTGCACGTGAATCCACATGGATTCCTCCATGAACCACCATTGTTGACTGAAGGTGAAGCTTGGGAACTGCTTCAAAAGAAAGCACTTAGAAGAGCACATGGTTCATCAGGTAATTAGTGGTATATAATTAGTCCCCCCACTACACATCATTGCATTGTTGTTAAATTAAATCTCTCTCTCTATATATATTAATTATTGGGTGGTTAGTTTTGTGGAGTAAATTTTCCACAAAAATGACCTTGATTATTTCTTAAAGGACTAGGTTCTTGCAAGACAAATGTACAGAACTTGAACTATTGTGCTACCTAAAAAGTTAGCAATTGAATTTTTTAGAAATAATTCGGAATTTGGAGAGCTAAAAATTATATGACTACTGTATACTATTTCAAGTTTCGTGAACAAATACAATTGAAATTCCAATTCGATTTTCTCAAACTCAAATAATTTTAGGATAGTCATTAACATTTTAAGCGGCATCATTAATATCTAGTTTTTCACTTTAATTTTGTCACATTTCTTTTATATGTATATATATATATATAATTTTTTAGGTAAATAAAAACCCATTTTTGGCCAAAAAAATAATTAAAAAAATATTTCTTTTATATTTTTTTCTTTCCTTTTCTATCATAATTTCTTAGACTTAATATAGCTTAAAAGTTTAAAATTTTATTTTTTTTGTTGTCCTGTATGAAAAAAGTTGTTCCCTGTCATAATTACTACCACTACTACTATGTTGGCTTTTGCATAAATCAGGCATGACCAAGTAATTAGTTTTCCACTTTAATTTTCTCACAATTCTTATATATATATATATATATATATATATATATATATATATTTCTTTCCTTTTCTTTCATAATTTCTTAGATTTAATATAGCTTTAAAGTTTAAATTTGATTGTTGTGGGGTACGTTTTTCCATAAAGGTTACTCGTTGTTTGGCATACCAATGTTTTTTAAATATTTTATTGTCCTGTATGAACGGCCGTTGTTCCCTTTTATAACTACTACTATGTTGGGTTTTGCAGTCAATAGACCTGACAAAAGGATTGAAGAGTTGGGGATCAAAATGGTTAGACACTGTGGAGGTCTACCATTAGCTGTTGTTGTGCTTGGAGGTATTTTGGTAACCAAACATACAGAGGAGGAGTGGGAGAAGGTGCATAGGAATATTAATTCACACATTAGTAAGGGCACAAGTGTGGGGCATGAAGATGGAGTATCACAAGTGTTGGGTTTAAGTTACGATGACTTACCATATCAGTTGAAGCGATGCTTTCTCTATTTAGGCAGCTTTCCGGAGGATTCTCGGATTGAATTAGAGAAATTATATCAATTGTGGATAGCTGAAGACTTGATATTGTCATGTGACACAGAAGGAGAAGAGACAATGATGGACGTTGCAGAGCGTTACTTAAGTGAATTGGCGCAAAGGTACATGGTTCACTTGGGAGTAGAGGAGCAGAGAGTAAGTTTTTTCCCACCCATATTTGAAAATTTTAAATATTGCAGGCTTCACGACATGATGCGTGGATTGAGTAAGTCAAGAAGTAAAGAAGAATTTTTTTTCAATGTCATTGATTCTGAGAAAATTTCATCATCATCATCAAATGCTAGAGTACGCAGAGTTGCCATCCATGGCCATTTGGGGAAGGAAGAGGATTATGGTGATTGGCTTTCAACTCAGTACTACCTTCGGTCGTTGCTTTTATTCGGAGATGATTGGAGGCCATGGATAATAAATTCATGCCATTGGAAAGACTTGAAGGTCTTGAGAGTTGTTCATCTTGAAGTGAGGGAACTTGGAAAGTTACCCAAAGCAATTGGAAAGTTAATCCATTTGAGATATTTGAGTTTAAAAGGTTGTAGAGGACTCGAATCGTTGCCATCGTCTATAGGCAACTTGAGATGCTTGCAAACCCTAGATTTAAGGGATACTTACCCGTGGTCGAGAATACCAAATGTGTTATGGAAGATAAAAAGCTTGGCACATCTATATCTTTGTGAACATATATATATATAAGAAAAGGAAAAAAGATGAGATTGTCAGGGTTGGGCAAGCTGGAGATCCTGGAAAATTTCGATTCAAGAAGGTGTGATGTTAAAGACCTATCCAACCTCAAAAATCTTAGGAAACTGACAGCAAGTATTTGGAATGATGACTTGGTGGTGGCCGACTTCGTCAATTATCTAAGCAGCCCCAGTCGGCTACGGCACTAATCAATTCTGATGGAGTACGACTTTAAGTTAGAAGAAGAGCTAATTGTTTTGGTAAAGTGTCGTCATCTTAATACATTGAGATTAAAAGGTGTTGTCGGAGGTGGTAAGTTACCTGCAGTACACCACTTCTCTCCAAGCCTTACCACATTGTCTTTAAGTAATTCTAAACTCAAGGAGGATCCAATGCTAACACTGGGGAAACTGCCTAACTTAACACACCTCTCCTTGTCGCTTGATGCCTTTGAGGGAGTGGAAATGGTTTGCTCTGAGGAGGGTTTCCCTCAACTCAAATTTCTACTACTTTTCCGTTTGTACAACTTGGAGGAGTGGAGGGTGGATGAAGGAGCCATGCCCAATCTTTTTAAATTAGAAATTAATGCTTGCCGGAGATTAAAGATGGTTCCAGATGGATTGAAATTCATATCTACCCTTCAGGAATTGAATATAAAGTCCATGCCACATAAATTTGTTAGAAGACTTGGAGGGGTAGATGGAGAAGGAGAAGATCAATACAAAATCCAACACGTCCCTAACATCCAATACAAGTTCATGTAAGCACTCACCATTAAAATAAAAATTATTTTCCTTTCTTTATTTTATTATATATAAAGCAATTTTTCTTAGTGCTTCCCAATATTCCCGCCCCACCAAAAATCTGGGCCTTAAATCTAAAATTACATATATCTTATATATATATAGTATAGCAGCTGGGTTGCTTTTTGAAGATGCAAAGAATTTTCTCTCTCTCTATTTTGACAGAATCTCATTACATTTTCAATTAAAAATAAATCTCCCCCCTCTTTTACTCTCTTCGCTGCCTTTTTATAGGCAATTACAAGTGTTGCTGGACTATCAGTTTTGGGCCTTCTTTCCAATGGGCTTGATCTTCTTCGGTGGATCCTCCGAGCTCGGCCCATTCTGTGGTGCTCTTGTATGAGCTGTATTTCAATTGTTTGCCCCGATGCCACGTCTGCGGATTATAACCGGCCCATATTACCTATTGTATCCTCAACTGCCCCCATAATTACTCCCTAATAAATTAGGGGGTAATTATTAGAGGCTGCTAATCATGACTTGACGGCTCGAGAAGGTCGCATGGAAGAATGGACGGTTAGATTTGGGGGTCGGTGCTTCGAGATTCAAAAAAACTCCTCGCTTTCCTGACTCCTTGGCCTTCGGGCCCACCTTATCGTTATAAGCCTCATAGATGTTCCATCGATTCTTTTTACTGTCTCCATCTTACTTTACTGTTTGTCCAAATCTTCTCAGGTGATTTCTTGCAAAAGCTCATTTTTCCAGCGACTTTGCAGTGCTCTTTGACGTTTTCACTCTCTGAGGTTAGTTTTGTTTGCCTTTTTCTTTTGGAAGACCTCTTTTTCTCCCTTAAAATCCTTATTCATTCTCACCATGACTATAGATCTAGATGTTCTTCGCATGAGACTTCATCTTCCTAATGATATACAAATTAGAAATTGTCCTAAAGAGGTGGATATTAGAACAGGTGCTGGCCTTCTTCCCGGCGAGGTTCTATTTTCCCACCTTTATCTTACCCTCCTTAGGTTCCCTCTGTAGCCCTTCTTTAACTATGTTTTTAATAAACTAAAACTTTCCCCTTTGCAAGTAAACCCAAATTTCCTTAGGGTTTTATCCGTTATGTTGCTTTTGAATCGTGATAGAGGTCTAGATCTGGACCTCGTAAATCTTCTCCTCTGTTACAAGGTTAGCAAAATCCTAACTGATGAACCGTTTTACCACTTCTACCTAATTGAGAAGAGGTCTATCTGCAAAGATAAAATCAAATCTGAGAAGGGTTGGAGGAAAAATATAATTGGGATTAGGGGAGCCTGGTTTTCTCCAGCCGCAGAGGATTTCCCTATCCCGAGTGCTTTTAGAGAGTGCTCTGTCTCTTCATACAAAAAATACAAAACCCATAAGAGTGACTGTCCTTGCGAGATTTGCGTTCCTCGCTTTTGTACTTTCTTATGCTGTTCCTTAAGCATTCATTGTGATGATTTGAGTTACGGTGTTTGCAGGGATAGGGATAACTATTTGAAGCAGCACGTTCTGACCAACATTCCCTTTTGCTCAGATCTTCTTACCTCGGACAACCTTCTTACTCTCTCAGCCCTTGGCAAGACAATGAGTCAGCTCCAGATCCCTTTCTTCGGCAGGAGAAAAGCTGCCCCCAGGACCATTATTGCCCCTGCAGTAACTTATTCTCCAGTTTCGGTATCTTCTTCTGCCACTATTTCTGATACCACTCTTTCCACCGATCTAAACGTGACGGCTACTGACCCGATCTCCAACACTACGACTGTCAATCCGAACGTGACCCCTTCTGCCAGCAACCTTCCCAGCACTGCTACTGCTACCACTCGGGAAAAGACGAGAGGAAAAAGGTATTAGCTAGATAGTGCTCTTAGCCTTGATGACGTTCCTCTGTCACAGAGGGTTAGGCCTTCTGGGCCGAGTGTGTATGTGCACTCTCTGACTAGGCCTCTTCTGACTAGGCCTCCTACCCCCTCTGGGCATACCTTTGTCAATGCCTCTGCCTCTGTAACGGCACCATGGAACCCTCGCTTTATTCCAATAGACGGATCGTCTGTAAAGCCGGACGAGACCATGTTCAAGGATGGTCAGACCACTATGGCATACTACAGGAGCATGTGGACTCCTAAGGATATTGAGGTAGCCAAGGGTCTGTCTCAGAAGGAAGTGTTCAGCCGGTTCCCCTTATCTGCCATGGAGGTAACTTCTGTCCCTCAGTCAATGAATCTTTACATAGTCTTTACATTTAATTGCTTCTAACCATCTGCTCGGCTTAATAGTTATCATGTATATCTCTACAGACCCTATACGGGATGATGGACATGTAGAAACAGGTTGAACTGGTAAATACAAAGGTTCGTATGCTCTCTGACAACCTTGGTGCAGCTAATAGGGAGAACGATGCTTTAGGTGCTCAGAATACCGGGCTGATGGTGCAGCTCAACAAAATTGAGAAGGAGAGGGACGCTTTGAAAAAGGAGACGGACTCCCTTTAGGATGAAAAGGACGCTCTGCAACTTGAGAAGAGTGTCTGGCATACCGAGCGAGAATCTCTTAAGGCTGAGAAGGAAGAACTTCAGCGCCTTCTGAGTGATGAACAATCCGCTCGGATGGCCTTTGAGAAAAGAGCTCTAGACGAGCGTGATACTTTACTCAGCACCATCAGCAAGGTAAACGGTGGTATGCTGGCTCTGCATGCTCGATTTTCCAGGGTTGGGGCCCTCAGATATGCCCAGGGATTCTGAGAGGGCTATGTTGATCGTGTTCTAGCTGAAGATTAGACTGGTTCTACCCCTGACGAGGTTGACAAAGAGTTGGAGATTGATCCTCCGGGTGTTTATGTTGATCAAGACTCCACCCCTGCTGAGGGCATATTTGATGAATTCCAAGAGATCGCCTCTTCCAGGCATTTTTCCTCTATCCACCGTGGCTCCCTCCGCCACTGTTGCTGAGGATGAGCCTCGGCAAAATGATTCTTCCAATGCTAATGAGGGTAGAACTCAGCAGAATGATTCTGTCATTCAGCTTGATTCTCCTCCTCGTGAGGACGGAACAGCCAACAGTGATATGGGGACTGTTCAGCACTATCAAGAAGCTGACGGGGCAAATACTTCTAGTTAGAACTTTTCTGATGTACTAACCTCCTTTCTTTTACATTTTTGTCGTCTGTATACCTCATTTTTTGTAACTCTTGAAATTCACTATTAATGAGATGGCTGACTTTTTATTGAACTCTTGCCATAAATCCCTTTACTTAATGATTTAATGCTATCTGATCTGATTTTTCTCTGTATGTCAGTGGTTGGCGTTCGGCTAGTGTACCACTTTCACTTTTTTATTTTTTGACAAGCTTTTGGCGTTCGGCTCATAGTGTCAGCTGCCACTTACTTTGCTGAGTGGTTGGCGCTCGGCTAGAATGTTACTTGCCACTTTCACTTTTTTTTTTTTTTTTTGGCAAGTTTTTGGCGTTCGGCTTATAGTGCCAGCTGCCACTTACTTTGCTGAGTGGTTGGCGCTCGGCTAGAATGCCACTTGCCACTTTCATTCTCTTTTTTTTTGGCAAGTTTTTGGCGTTCGGCTTATAGTGCCAACTGCCACTTACTTTACTGAGTGGTTGGCACTCGGCTAGAATGCCACTTGCCAGTTTCACTCTTTTTTTTTTTTTTTTTTTTTTGGAAGTTTTTGGCGTTCGGCTCATAGTGCCAGCTGCCACTTACTTTGCTGAGTGGTTGGCGCTCGGCTAGTATGCCACTTGCCACTTTTACTTTTTTTTTTTTTTTTTTGGCAAGTTTTTGGTGTTCGGCTCATAGTGCCAGCTGCCACTTACTTTGCTATTTCCATAAACTCAACTCTTTAGAAGAAGATAACTTTTTATAAATTTCAGAATTCTGTACAATTAAAAGTAAGTAATGCCAGAATTAGAACTTCAAACTTTCTACATATAATACGTTTTTAAAGATGTAGCATTCCATGGCTTATTAACCAGCCTTTCGGCCATGGTCTCTAGCATATATGCCCCCTTCCCTATGACCTCTGCAATTCTGTATGGTCCTTCCCAAGGTGACATTATCTTTTTAACCATTCCTACCTTCTTCTTCAGAACCAGATCGCCAAGTGCGAAATCTCTGTGTTTCACCCTTTTGTTGTGGCAGTTAGCCAGTGTCTACTGATAGGATGTAAGCCTTATTGCCGTAACATCTCTTTTTTCCTCTAACATATCAAGGTTAAATCTCAGCATTTTGTCATTCTGTTCCTGATTCCATGCTAAGCTTCGAATAGTCGGAACCAAATATTCAACCGGTATGACTGCCTCTGTTCCGTATGCCATGGCGAATGGGCTTTCCCCGGTCGGCCGTTTAGGGGTCGTTCTATAAGCCTATAGGACGTTCGGGAGTTCGTCCAGCCACTTCCTTTTATGGTCTTCCAGCTTCTTCTTGATACAAGCAAAAATTATTCTATTCGTAATTTCTGCTTGTCCATTGGCCTGGGGATGACTTACTGCTGCCAATTTTTGGTTAATTCCATATTCTTCCAGCAATTCTCTGACTTGCTTGCTATCGAAATTAGTCCCATTATCCATAACGATTGACCTCGGGACACCAAAATGGTAAATAATATTACTCCAGATGAAGTGTCTTACATGAGTTTGTGTTACGCTAGGATATGGCTCTGCTTCTACCCATTTGGTAAAGTAATCTGTTGCTAGTAATACATACTTGTTTTGAGCTCTTATAGTTGGCAGAGGACCAACCATATCCATCCCCCATTGTGCGAAAGGCCATGGTGTGGCCATTACGTGCAAGTCCTCAGGTGGTTGGTGGATCAGTGGTCCGAACCTTTGGCACTTATCGCACCTTCTGGAGAATTCTTTTGCATCTTGTGACATATTCGGCCAGAAGTACCCTTGTGTCATTGCTTTGTGCACTAAAGATCTTCCCCCTGAATGATTTCCACACACACCTTCATGAATAGCTCGCAGCATTTGCCGAGCCTCTATGGGGGTGACGCACTTTAAGTACGGCCCAGAGAAAAAGACCTCCTATATAACTGGTTATGTATTATGGCGTACTTTGCAGCATTCGATTTGATTTTCCTAGCCTCATCTCTTTGCTCAGGCAGAGTACCATCCCGAATATAATGATCGGATCAATCCAACTTGGCTCATACGGAATAACATTCACTTGCCAAGGATCCGGGTCCGAAGGTTCTTCAAAAATGGATGGCTGGCTCAGTATTCCTACTGGAATCACCCTTGCCAATGTTTCTCCAGAACCCGAGGTGCTACATGCTAGCCGATCGGCATCTGCGTTATGTTTTCTCGGTACTTGGATGAATTCAATTTTTTCAAAGTTTTTGGCTTCCCGCATAATAGCAGAATGATATGCTTCTATCGTTTTATCCTTGGTTTCATATTCGCCATTCACCTGCCGAATAATTAACTGCGAGTCACTAAAGACAATCAAATTCCGGACCTTCAGCTCCTTGGCGAGCTTAAGTCCTGCCAGCAGCGCCTCATACTCTGCTTCATTGTTGGTGGCTATGAATTCAAGCCGGAGCGCTTGACTTAGGGACGTACCTTCTAGTGTCTGCCGTTTGACTCCAATGCTTGCCCCCATTTGATTTGAGGATCTATCAAAAAAGAGTTTCCACAAGCAACCACGAAGGTCTTCCTCCATGTTTTCTGAATCACATTCTAGTAAAAAATCTGCCACTTTTTGCCCTTTGACTGTCATTCTGGGTTCATATGTTATTTCAAATGAGTTTAACTCTATGGCCCTTCGTCATCCTTCCTGAGAGGTCCGGCTTGTGCAGGATTATTCTGATAGGGAAAGTGGTTAGAACGATGATAGGATATGATTCAAAATAATGCCTGAGCTTTCTTTTCGCATGTACTAGTGAGAGTATCACTCGCTCGGCCTTTGAATAACGTTGTTCGGCCTCAATCATCGTTTTGCTAACATAGAACACTGGATATTGCTTCCCCTCTTTACAACGGATCATAATGCCACTTGTCGCGATGCTAGATACCCCAAGGTACAAAAATAACTTCTCTCCTGGTTCCGGAGCTGACAGAACCGGAAAGTTCTGCATATATTCTTTCAGACCAGTTACTGCTCGGCGCTGTTCATCCCTCCAAACTTGTCTCCCATGGCTTCATATTGTGTCAAAAAATGGTTTGCAGCGATCTGACAATTTGGAAATGAACCGGTTCAATGCAGCGATCCGTCCTGTAAGTGTTTGCACTTCTTTGACTGTCGTTGGCTCGACATTCTTAGTCAAAGCTTCTGCTTGGGCAGGGCTAGCTTTTATGCCTCTATGATTGACCACGTGTCCCAGGAATTGACCAGAACTCACGCCGAATGAGCACTTGGTTGGATTGAGCTTCATTCTATATTGTTTCAATACATCAAATACGTCTTGTAGATGTTTCAGATGGTCAATTTCTTCTTACTTTTTACTACCATGTCATCAATGTAAGCTTCCATGGTCTTCCCTATTTGACCCTTGAAAATTTTGTTAATAAGCCTTTGGTAAGTTGCTCCGGCGTTCTTCAGTCCGAACGGCATAACTTTGTAGCAATAGGTCCCGCGCTCGGTAACGAAAAAAGTTTTCTCTTCATCAGTAGAGTCCATTAGGATCTGATTATAACCTGAATAAGCATCCAAAAAGGTTAAATGCTCATACCTAGTAGTAGCATCCACCATTTGATCAATTTTTGGCAGCGGAAAGCTATCCTTCGGACAGGCTTTGTTCAAATTGGTGAAATCAATGCACACTCGCTATTTCCCATTCTTTTTCTGCACAACAACAACGTTTGACAACCAGTCAGGATAGTACACTTTTCTTATAAATCCCGCATCAAGCAGCCTATCAACCTCCTCGGCTATGATCCGGTTACGCTCTGGAGCGAACCTTCGCTGCTTCTGCTTTACAGGTCTTGCATTGGGATTAACGTTCAAGGAGTGACAGGATACGGAAGGATTGATTTCAGGCATGTCTAGGTGGCTCCATGCAAATACATTGGCGTTCTGAGACAAGAAATCAACTAACTCTTGTTTTTCCTCCTCAGCAAGTTGTTTCCCTACTCTGGTTGTTCATTCTGGTCGGAACTGATCGATCTGTACATCAACTAGGGGTTCTTCGGTCAAGTCCACTAGCTTCTCCTCCCCATTCTACTTGGGGGGAGGCTCCTGTAATTGCTATCTCGGGCTTGCCGAACGGATGGGTGCTTTCCCTTTTCCAGCATACTTCAGCGTTACTGAATAACATTCCTTAGCTGCAACCTGGTCCCCATGAATGTCAATCACCTTGGTTCCGTCTGGCCCCATGCATCTTATTATTTGATGCAAAGTGGAAGGAACACCTTGAACTCTGTGGATCCATCCTCTGCCCATCAGAAGGTTGTAAGAGGGATGAATCTCGACAACTACAAAGGTCTCCATCAGAACCCTCTCTGCAGCATGCATTGCTACCTCCACCATACTGATGGGTTCCACTCGTTTTCCATCAAATCCTAACAAAGGATTCCCAGTGGGCTTGAGCCGGTCTGGCTTGATCTCGAGCCGATCAAATGTGTCCCTTGGCATGACGTTCGCACTACTTCCAGGATCAATCAGAACTCTGCGTACTAAACATTCGGCCACTGTCAAACTGACGACTAACGGGTGCTCATGAGGGATCTGAACACGCAACAGATCTATCCTGTCAAACTTTATCTGTGTTGATGCGCTCTGTTGGTGCAGAGTGTTTACACTGCCTATCCTCCTCTTCATCTGTGCCTAGCGAAGACGTGTTTGAAGTAGTTCATCTGACTCCTCAGTAGGTTCAGGCCAACCATGAATTGCATTGATTATTCGAACTGGTTGCGTATTGTGGGAGTTTGACTTCTGATTCCTCTTCACTTGCTCCATCGGTTGGTTCTGTTCCACCGCCGGGCCTTGAATATAACTTGCGAACTCCCCTCTGGCTATCAGCATCTGTACCTATCTCCTTAAGTTCCTACATTCATTAGTCTGATGGCCAAAGTCAGAATGGAATGCATAATGCTTAGACTGATCCCTCTGCTCGAGGGGTTGTCTGATTGGTAAAGGAGATTGAAACTTATCTTTATTTTCTTGGTACAACCTTGCTAAGGTGACTTTCAATGGAGTAACCAGCTTTTCTTCCCTGGGCTTCTTCTCAGATTTCCACGAGGTTTGACGTTGTGGCTGAACCTGCTTTTGTCTGATCTTTGCTTTGGTTTTCTCTTCTGTTGATATGATGGATGTCTTTCGAGCGTTAGCTGCCTCTTCTTCTTCCAAGCGCACAAATCCATCAGCTCTTTCATTAAGTTCATCTATAGTCTTCAACATATTCATTACCAAGCTTGTGTGGAATGGAGTGCCACGAGTCATGGCCAATATATACGCTTGAACCACTATAGAAGGATGACATTCAATTACCATGCTCTTAGTAAGGTTAAACCTGGTTAGGAAAGCTTGGAGATGCTCGTCCTTATGCTGCTTCATTATGAATAGGCTTGAAATGTCCTTTGCTAGACATTTATTTCCATAATATTGGCTTATG